GTGGAGTGGGTGGTAAGGGAGGGGGTGGGGGCAGGGGGGAGAAATGACCCAAGCCTTGTATGCACATATGAATAATAAAATTAAAAAAAAAAAAAAAGAGACCTTCCTACAAAATGAGACCAACTGCAGGTCATAGAGGAAGTATTAAGATTATTGTTGAGTCTATCATACCCTTGCATGAAGGATCTTATCCAAATAAACTATAGCTCTTCAATGATTAGGACAAAAGATTAAGAATACAAGAGTTCCACCTGATGCTGCTACTGCTGTTACATAAATACAAAATAAATACATTACATTTTTTTCTTTTGGCAGTACTGGGCATTAAACTCAGGGCTTCATGCCTAGTAGGCAAGCCCTTTACCACTTGAGTCACGCCCCCCAGTCCTTTTGTGTTCAGTTTGTTTTTCATTTAAGGACTCATGCTTTTGCCTGGGCTGGCCTCAGTCTTCGATCCCCTCCTATCTTCATTTCGAGTAGCTTGGATCACAGGCATGTGCTACCACACCCAATGTTTACACTACATTTTAAAAAACACTTATTACATACAAGCCATTTTAGACATTTACACATATTATTATAGTTATCTATGACATATTCTTCTTCCTGTTTTGCAAGTGAGGACAATGGCAGCTCAGAGAAATTACTTTCCTAAGGTTACCCATCTAGTTAAGTATCAGAAGCCCAACACAGATTGATTCCAAAGCCTACATTCTTTCCTATTTATCATCCTCTCAAACTTGTATTTGTTTAAGATTAAGTTTGAATGGAATCTTACATAAGACATCTATGAAAGAACATTGAAGTGGCTGGTGGCATGGAACTACAGAGAAATGCATGCTATTTTACTCAATAAATGACTGATAATATACTTTCTCAGAAATATTACAAAATAAACTGAGCCTTTCTATGAGTAGTATGATCCCATATTCAAACAAGGCCTCGTTATTAAATGTTTGAAGCTAACTTAGCCATGAAAGCAGTGAGACTACTGCATTCTTACATAAAAGATTCACAGCTGTCGAGGAATTTACACAACTCCCCAAATTCTGTGCGTACTGGGGCATGCACTTATCAAGTTCATGCACATCTACTACACAGAACTACACAGAGTAGCCAGGCACTGTTCTAGGGACTGGGGAATACAGCAACCAACAAGATAAATTTGATAATCTCACTGAACTCAACTCAAATGAGAACACAGGAACTTCACAACAGGACAGGGAAGATACCTCTAAGAAGGGGACATTTTATTGAAGACCTAAGTGATGGGGAAAAGTAAATCATGCAAATATCTAGAAGGAAGAGAAAGAACATTTTAAAAAAAGGAAACAAGTAACTTAAGCCTTGACAGGGAAAAGGGATATATGAGAAATAATAAGAAGGCAATTCTGCTAAAGAGAAAAAGTAACCAGAGATGAGGACACAGAGAGACACACACATCATTTACATCTTTGAAAGCCTGATAGGGAATCTGAAATTTATTCTGATTGGAGGAGAAGTCCTGATTTTTAAAAGATTGCTCTGGCAGCAAGAGAAATGAGAGCAGGGAACAGAGTAGAACCAGACAGATCAAATAGGAGGCATGTCAGTGGCCAGCAGATGACAATGATTTGAACTAAGACAGAGCTGGAAGAGGAGATGTGTTTTGCAGCATCAGGATGGCTTTAAGTTATAAGGCTGAGGTCAGCACTGAAAAAGTGAATGAACACACAGGAACAAAAGGATAAGGGCTGAGTAATTCAGTCTTTAACAGTTTAGAAAAGGGAAATCACCTTCATTTTATCAGTGCATCTGGGGTGTGTGTGTGTGTAAGTGGTACTCAGGTTTGAACTTAGTGCTAGTGCTTACACTCTACAACTTGGGGGCATTTCAGATGCTCCCAGTCCCACATCTGAAATATATTTTGCATACAGGCCAGGTAATTTGGAGTTTGTTTTTATGCAGTCATATTTTTGATCACACAGAAAATACAAAAATAGGATAGAAGACTTACATTTAAATGTGGCAGAGGCTCTCAATAAATAATAGAAGTCATTTTACTCTTACATGAGTTGACCTGCATTGTTTTACTACCTGATACTGCTACATTTTAGATGCTTATAACCGGTAAGTAAAATTGATTTATGAGCAAAACAATGAAAATATCTACAATGAAGAAATTAAGATTCTGGTGCAAAGCCCCAAGTTCAAATCCCAGTCCCATCAAAACAAAAAGAAATTAAATTTGGGGGCTGGGGAGAATAGCTCAAGTAGTAGAGCATTTGCCTAGCAGATGTGAGGCCCTGGGTTCAATTCCCAGTACTGCTAAAAAAGAAAATCTACAATTTTGATTCATTTCTATTCATCTATTTCACCTAAGGTAAGGCAGGTAATTAGCTTAGCTAGTATCAAAATTAAAGAAAAGGAGAATTTATAATTTTAAGGAAAAATAGCAATGTATAATATTTTTTCTCGTATGTATTTTAAAAATAATTAAGCATCTCTTTTTAAAGGCTGCCTATTCCAATCTCTAGTCTTCAACCATTTCAGATATTTTGCGCCTCTTAGTAAGAAGACAAGGACATTAAGGCAGGAAGACTTGAATCTGAATTCAAACTCTGGTACTAACAATTTCGGCTGATGTTTTGGGTCAGTTACTAGACACTCAGGTCTCAGTGTCTTCACATGAAAGATGGAACTAGTATCTAGTCTGGAGCAAACAGCACTAAAGGAGATTATGTTACACATAGCCTCCTGCAACATTTACAACTTAGTAAACGTTGCTTTATTCCCTTCTTCTATTTCAGCATCTATAGCATTTAGGTGTTTATTATAGTCATCTTTTGAATGCTTTCTGAAAAAAGGGGGAGACTTTTACCTTAATATGATGATGACTTAATCCTACCAGCTTAATATTTTATTCTAGTGGACTATAAGGCCATTCAGGGGAAGGACTGTCTTTTTCAACTATTTTTTTAACTTTTATTTCTGTATATTGATGTATGTAGTAGACTTCTATAGCTTTCACAAATAAAACCAAAATTTCAAGAACATCTATACTAGAGTTATTCATGTTCCTTATTTTCTGTAAATGTATGCATAGTCCTTATTTTCTGCAATGACAGTTTTACAGATATATTACTTCAAATGTATTTATGTAGATTCTGTTAGAGCTGACTAAGAAATATATCTCAGTATGTATCATGCTGTTTTCTTTTGTTTATTTTGTGGTTTTTTGGTGATACAAAGTTTGAACTCAGGGGCTCACGTCTGCTAGGCAGCTGTTCTTCAACTTGAGCCACTCCCCCAGTCCTGTTTTGCTTTAGTTGATTTTTGGACAATTTCAGTTTTTGCCCAGGGCCAGCCTTAGACTGAGATCCTCCTATCTACTTACAGCCTCCTGTGTACATAGGATCAAAGTGTACTCCAACACCCCTCACTTTTTGATTGAAATAGAGTTTCGCCAACTTTTTGCCTAGGTTGGTCTTGAACCTCTATCCACCCACCTCCCAAGTAGCTGGGATTACAGGCATGAACCACTATACCCAACTTACCTTAGTGTATTTGAATAAGTAACATCAGCACTTCTGACATATTACACTTTTGGCATCTCTTACACAACCACTATTAGAGAGACTGAATATCCTAATAGATCCCAAAGATGTAAAAAACAATTGACAAAGGAAAAAACTGTTAGTTTGGCTTTTCTCTGCAATGCTTCAGGCCATTTGGTCATGTTCAATTTCTTCTAACCCTGTAAAGCTTGAGTGAACTAAGTACACCATTCCACAATTAAGGAAACAGCTCATCTAATGATCAATTACCTAAACAACTAAACTAAGCTTCTATTTCCTCTATATATACCTGATTCAGCCATTCTCACTCTCTGGTTGCTACATGCCTCTCATATTTACCACTTCCTGGTTTGTACCACTTAAATGGTGGTACTGGAGTTTGAATTCAGGCTTCTCTACCACTTGAGCCACACCCCAGACCACAAAATCTTGAAACTTACCAAAATGGCTAACAAGTGAAAACAAACTAGCATTAAAATCTTGAAAAAAAAATTTTTTTTTCATATCCTGTCAGGATTAATTTGCTGAGTTTTGGGTATGCAGAAAAAAAATTTAAATGTATAAAACTGATATCCAGCTGCATTCCAGCAGTAGCTGAAGAACATTTATGCAGGGTTCCTCACCCACTTCCTTTAAAAACTTTGGCTGTAATGGTCACATAACTCCCCTGCAAGCTGGGCTATTCTCTGGTAACATGAGGTCCCTGAGCACTTAGAAGGCTGGCTAGGTTCTATATTTTGGCAGATTGTCAAGGCAAGTTTCTGTTGGTTACTACAACAACCTATTTACTTCAGTCACAGCTATTCAAACACATATAAATGCTTAAGAAACCTCAAGTCCTCTCAATTTACTCACATCATGATTCCCCCAACATTTTATTTTTCAAAGTAGGAATATCAGAAGTCTTATTCCCAAAAAAGAATACCTCCGTGGTGATGTGATAGGCTCCCTCCATTTGCAAGGATTTCGTCTCTTGCAGCTGCCTGTATTTGGAAACAACAGGACAAGTTGTTGCTACTTAAATTTCACTTTGGAGTAAAGGAGTAAGACCCAATTCCCATCTCATAGCAACCAACATTATGACTAACATTTACTATTTCCTGTATGTCCTGAAAAACACTTATCAGTTTGCCTGCAGTATTTCATTTATTTTCACTATAGCCTTATGGAATAATTATAACTACTCCTATATCACAGATAAAGTAAATGAGGCTTAAACTGGTTAAATTACTTGCCTAATACACCGGGCACATGAAAGTCATGATTACTTACAAAGCTATCAGGAATCAACCATAAAAATCTTATGGAGAAAATTTCTTAGGTCAATGACATGGCCAAATTACTTGACAGTTCTATGGATATCTAAGTATGGGGGAAAAACACCCAAAACTTGTTTTCTCCCCTTGTTTCAACCTTCCTAACATGTTAGATCCTGATTAGGTTCCTTATGGAGCACTCAGGTTAAAAAGATAAACAGAACAGAATACAGAGTGCAAAAGAATAACAGAAAGTGGAATTGCCTTCGATTCTTAGTAACGCATGGGAGTGTGACAGCCACTAGTGAAATGCCTGCTGCCTTGAACATCTCAGAGCTCAAGTGCATGTAAAGCTTCAGGAGTTCAGCCAACGCAAAAGGGTCCAAGTGGGACAAGATGAGTCAAATCTCACTGTAGTACTTCAAGTTCTCCAAATAAATCATAAGTATACCAGACCCGCTGTAAGAACTTATCATTTCTAACAAAATTCTTCACATAAAACAGCTTCCCTGTGAGATTAGTAGCATTCAGAGCATGACATTTTAGACTGGGGAAAAGAACACAATTTCACTCTATGTGAAGAACATTTGACAACCAAGCTAAGGGGATGAGAATGAGTACTCAAACTTTTGAGGATGACAGATATATTCATGGTTTTGATTGGGGCGATGACTATACATATGTATATGTGTATATATACACATATACCTATATGTAAAAACTCATCAGGTTATAGCTTTAAATACGTACTAGTTAATATATTCCAGTTATATACCAAAAAAGTTGAAAAAGGAAAAAAACCCCAACAAAACAGAGGGGTAAGAGGAAGACAACCAAATTTGTCCATGATGTTTTGTGTCTAAAAAGTGTGCTGTGGCACCAAAATTATCTTCTATTATTACCACTGGCAGGAATATAATGGAATTAAAACAGTATGACAGCAGTATTTCTAAGAAACCTGTTTCCCACAGGTTCCTCCACAGTCTATTGAAGGAACTCTACATATCTTGTAATAAGAAATACTGGCCATCAATAGATGGCTTTATAAAAGTTAGCTGCTTAAGGCCATTTAAGAAATGTAATAGAAACTGCTAGCAAATGCACCCCAAAGGCTTACATAGAGTTTTAGCATACAAAAAAATTAATAAACTAGAATGATGATATCACCAGAGACAAAGAGCACAAAGGCTACCTCAACAGTAGCCACCACCTGGACATGGGTGGATTGCCAAAATGATATTAGATTCCTATAATCCTCAAAATTCCTATTGCTATTTAACTTAATTAATAATCATGCACTGTAACAATCAAAGAATCACAGGCTACAGGTGTACAGAAATTAATTTTAGACTCATAATTCAGTACATAAACCAGTACAATCAATACGTTTTTCATTTCCTATGAGCTAGCAGCCAGGCAAACCATGTTAATTAAAGAGAATCAAACTTAAATTCATAGATGAATACTAAAATTTAGTTAAGATAATGAAAGCTATATGCAAAATTACCTCAGTTTGTTCAAACACGGTCAGTGGGTCACTAATTCCCCTGTAGTTAAAGGCAAAATAGAAGTAGATACATGCACCTGCATCGTAAGTCTGTGTCACCCTAAAAAACAAGCAGACAAAATCCCCAAAGGTCTTAAACTTACATGAAACAGATATAACATCTAGAAACTTAAAGGTAAGATCACTGAATTCACTTAAAAGTATAATCTCATCCTCTATCCAAACTCCTACTCCATGAAAGGAATGTAAGTTGGCTCTCTTTAGAGTTGTGGCCAAAATAGGTAACTAAGTCTACAGTAGAAAGCAAAAGGATTCTATTTTCATTTAAATGCCAGTTTAGTCAATATTTAAGTATACATTGAATCCTTCTTTTGTTTGTGCTGTTACTATAACTTCTATTAGGAAATATAACAAAAACTTTTATCCATTTCATCAGCATTTCATGGTAAAATGCCATTTTCAGTGATTTATTAGAATTGTTATTTAGACATAACGGGAGCTACAAGCAGCATATCCGAAAACATGCTTAAAATACAGTCAGTTAAATAATAGTATAAGTTGTCTTAAAATGTATAATCAAAATACCATTTAATAAAAACATGAGGCTTAAAATATACATATCTTGACAATAAAAGTAATACTGTAACTTTTTCTATTTCCTGTATTCAACTAATTTTATGCATAATTAGTTGTTCATGTAGCTAGTGTAAAACAATACTTGAGGCACATTCATATTTCAAGTGGCACAGTCCCATTTTTTTCAAAAGCAAGTTTTCCTGACAAAAAGACCACACAATGATATTCATATAAAACATCTGCCCCTGAGAAAGGCAAATTAGAGTAGAAAAAAGAAATATGATCCCATCCATTGGCCATATCTCTGTTGAGAACAGAAACATTAACTACATGGAATAGATATGGATATGCAAGTAGTGACTAAAATGAATACTGAAATATGTGTTCACTATTTTTAAAGTCTACATTGATAAAGCATAGCCAAGTACATTTTAAAGTTAAAACCATTTCAAAGTACAAAAAGTATTCTGAAAGTTAATACTGTGACCTTACTTGTTTTGATTCTCTTGGCTCAAGACATTTAAATATATCTGGGCAAAAAAAGTAAATCACTGAAGTTAGCAAAACAAACAAAAAAGATTGCTTAGTCTTGACTATAATTTTAAAAATATGTGACAATAAAATAATGTAGGTAACTTTTTTTCCTACACAGACAACATACTGCATTAGAAAAAACTCTTCTAAGCTCTAGTCAATGCATGATACAACCTCAGGGTACAGAGGGACAAACAAGAGTGAAGAATGTTGATAATTTTTTTATGCAGTTTAATATGTTATCTGATGATGTACTAGAGACCTTCAGAGAATAAAGGATAGAAAACCTCAATAGCTTTCTGCAACTTAAAAACCAGCCTAGACTATAGGACTAGACAGATAGAAGATGCTAAAGTAATCAAACCATAATGAGTGATTATATAAATAGTAAGAAAATCTGGGAGGGGTATTCAGACTGGAAAAGGTGACTAGAGAAAGGTATACATGAATGGGGACTGACATAAAATATAAGATACTGTTCTGGTTAAGAAAACTGCTGTATTACCAAGCTATAGGATAAGTCAACTAAGACATAACAGAGGGCAAACAGATTAAAGGGAACAAAGTGGAAAAGGATGAACTAAAAATAACCACAATTCTGACATCAGGAATAAGAAAATCAAAGAATTTGAGGAAGAAACTGAGATCAAAGGGCAGTGGTGAGTAATGGCTATCACTGCTCAGTAATATGTGGAGATCTGTCTTCATTTAGTATCAAACATACAACAGATAGACCTTCTGTGGAACACAGATTTACTTTTCTCTCTCCCTCTCTTTGGGCCTCATATTTCCTCATATGATACTCGCTCTGCTTCAATTACAGGCCCTTCCTAAGTATGAGAGTCCTATTCTTCCTCCTCAAAAATAACCTTCTCCTGTTGACACAGAAGCCAACTTAGAGGAGCTCCCAATGGTCAAATCTGGGAAAATTTCAGCAACAAAGTGAATAACGAGAATAAAATATCTATAAGCTCATGCACATGGGAAAGAGAGATGCTCTTCCTTACAGTGAATTCCAATTGATAAATGTAAAAAGAATGATGCAAATAAAAACCACCATGTACAAATAATAACTTGTGATCAGCTATGCAATGGTAGGCAAGAGATGGGAGGATCACAGTTTGAGGCCAGCCCAGGTAAAAGTTAGTAAGACCCTATCTCACAAAGCAAACTGGATGTGGTGTGCATGCCTGCAATCTGTTAGTCAGGAAGCAAAGGTAGGAGGATGGCAGCTGAGAATGCCCCTAGACAAAAAGCATGAGACCCTATCTGAAATATAAATTAAAACCAAAAGAACTTGTAGGTGTGGTTTAAGTGGTGGAATACCTGCCTCCCAATCCTAGTATCAATCAATCAATAAATAAATAATAAAGTGCAGTCAGGAATCATTAATGGGAGATTGACGATTAGGAGACAGTATAAGAAACAGGGTATTTGCAGTCTCAAAGTTTTCCACCATAAGATATATATTAGGTACAATGGGAAAAATTTTAAAAAGACAAAACCACACAGGGACCACCTTAACCAAAGTGATCAAAGTTGACATCATCATTAACAAGATGCTCCAACATCATGTTCCTCCAGACATGATGCACCAAGAGAGTACAGGCTTCTGTGGCATTTCTGCCAGTATATACACACAAATTTAGTCACAAGGAAACATCAGACAGTGACTGAGAGGCATTTTACAGAATACAACAAAAACTCTATCCTCTTTAGGAGAGATTTAAATATATATATATATGAATGAATAAACAATAAAAATTAAGTATACTGCTGTGAAAGACAGCTCAGACAGACTAGATGGAATGTGAGCAATTGAAAATCTTCCAAGCTTTCTCAAAGTTAAGAGAAATAAGTATGGCTTAGAAATGGTATAAATGTTCAAATACCAACTAGAGTCACTGGGTGAAATATAGCATCATCGCTAAATTAACATTAATAATTAGTAAGGACTTGGATGATCATATTAAATGCAGTGATATGGCTTTAAAATAGTGTCTATGATCCCAGAGACACAGACACATATGTATATATATGTATATATATAAAAGATATTGATAATGGTAAATTATTAAATCATGTATGTGATATATATCTGGGTTTTCAAAACAGAATTAGGTAAATCTTTAAAAGAGAGCTTAGATAATCATAGTCAAATCTCCAAATGCAATCTACAGAGGTTCCCACAAAGAATTTAATTTAACAGAAGGGGCAAATACAGAGGAAATACTCTTTTTACTACACAATACAAATAGAAACTAATCTTACATTTTAATGGCCTTTTAGGCCAAATGTTAGGTGCCTCGGAACAGAAGAAATGAACTGTTTAACAATGCTACTGTCAATTTGCCAGCTGTGTTTTTCTCCTAGTGTTAATTTACACTCATAAAAAAGATCCCTTGAATGTTTACATTTTAGATTCCACATTTACAAAGTTTAAAGAAAAACTGGAGAACTATTTTAACTATGAAGGCACTGTCATTAGAAATAAACAAATTCAAATAAAAACTGAAGAATGAATAAAATAAGTTAATAGCAATTAGTAAAATACCTGTCATAAGATTATATTTTATATACAGAAATGTAACTAAGAATGAACAGAGTATTGCCACATTCCAACAAATCCAGGATCTAAACTTTACACTGTCATTTTTCACAGATAAGCAGAAAACTAAAGACTGCAACAAAGAATGATAGGCCTCATTGATCAATAACTCAGACCAAGTTTAATTAATGCCTTTTGAAAAACCTCCATTTGGGTCTATTTCAGAAAGTGACTCAGATCTAACACCCCGCCCCGCTTTTTGGCGGGGGAGTACTGGGGTTTGAGCTCGAGGCTTTGTGTTTTCTAAGCAGGTACTCTGTCTCCTGAGCCATGCCTCCAGCCCCTAAAACCTGTTAAAATAGATTAATTCTATCATTTAAGACACTTAAAAACTAATCTCTTCTAAAGTCATCTGGACAAGTAACAATGTATCAAAGTTGCTACATTATTCTTTAATTTCTAAAAACTTTTTTGTTCTTTAAACTTTTTGCAGTACTTTCTTGTGTTGGACTCTCACTGCCTACTAACAATTCTTTCCTATAAACTTTTTCACAAAAGTTAAGCTTGAAATTTCTATTCCAATGTACAAAGTACCTTTCAATAAACAAAAATGAAATAAATACAATATATGTACCCTATACTTGAAATATTTTTCTGAGGATCTTTGATTTTAAATAGACCTATAAGCACTTAAAAATAATTTTGGACAACTTAAAAACTGGCTTGAAGAATACACCTCACACATTTAACACAGAATTAACTCCTTGGCAACTATTAAGTAGCTCAAATCAAACGAAATTAAAGTCAGACTCTAGTTAAATTTAATCAAGTCTGACCCACAAGAACTTTGTATTTAAAATTCTTATAACAAAGCTATTCAAATAATTAGACTTTGGGCATTTTAAACTGGTTTTATAAATGGTCACAGAAACTGAGCATATAAGCTTTTACAAGGAAATCATTCTTATAAAAACAGCTACTTAAATATAATGTAAGGCTAACTCAGTCTAAAAATACTAAGTCTAATATTTGTAATACATTATGCAGATTCTTAGGCCTCCTGAATAGCTGCTGAAAAACCAAGATTTATAGAAGTGTTATTATAGAGCGTGCTCCAAGGCAGAATATTTTGTTTCTTGATCATTTTCAAAAAGTAGTGTTTTATCACAATATATTTATTAGGGATGAGGGGAAAGTTCTCAAAAATGTTGAACAGGGAGTTAGGATAAAAGGAAAAAGGAGTGGACAAAATCTATTAGAACTGCCACTTGACAAAACAAAAGAATAAAAAATTCAGCTATAAAAAAACAAATCTTATTCTATTCTTTAAAATGTTTCCAATTCTAATGGTAACAAATAGCTTTTGGATTATTAGGCCTGATTTGTTTTTAGGATTATAATAGAAGAGGCCTCACAGACTGGATTGTCAAGAGCAAAATCAGGTACCAATTTGGGTGGATAATACAAATAAGCACTTTTTTTTCTACTTAGATTTTTAAGGACTTTAAGATAAAATGTTCATTTACAAAGATACCCCCAATTAAAAATCAGAAAGTAACATGCACATTCTTATAACTTCATTTAGATAGGTTTTCTCCAAGGTCAGTCACTAAACCACTATTGGGCTTTACCAAGTTATAAAGAATCTTTTTACCAAGTTAAAAGATATCCTTTTGTTAGATATCTCAAATGCCCAGCCGATAAGTCTTAAAATCTACATTTTTAGGTTTTATATTCTCTGATTCCATTCCTAACATTCTTGTTCTAAAACATGTTAATAAACAGACTTGATGTGGTACTTTCTGTAATGTTTATCAAACTCCACACAGAAGGTGACAAGAGTACAATTCAGAGATCCTTCTGATTAAGATGAACAGTTATGGTTTAAAAAAAATGCTTTTCTCAGATTTCATATTACAATTTTACTATCTTACCCTGCAGAAACACAATTCAGTAAATTCTAAAAGATAACAGCTCCCAATGGGATCAAAAAGTAGAACAAGAAACACATTACAGTAGTAGGGAAGTAAAAGATGAGAAAATCTAAATATTCTAAAGTGGGGGGGGGAGAGCACATTAAAGAATACAAAAATATTTCTAGTCTTACAAAACAAATATATGCAAATTATCATGCTATGTCAACATATCAGCAGGAGCAAGTAGGCTTAACAACTGGATGCTTTTGGAAGACTAATGTTTGAAAAGAAAAGTAAATATTCAAAATTTCCTTACTAATACTAGTATGGGCTGACTATCTCAAACTTAATGTAATTTTATCATAATCAAACTACAGGATTTTTATAGCATTTATAGATTGAAGGTTTGTTTCATGTGATTTCTCATTTCATTCATACAGAAGTCTCATTAAGATATTACCACTACTTTACTGAGGATAAAATTAAGAGCTTGAAGAGGTTACATTACCAATGAAGAAAAGGACAGATGCTTTGCCTTCGCTCTTCAGACATGTGAAGTATTACAATACAAAATCTTAAAAGTTAGCAGAATGGGAGGGGGAGGATATAAGGAAATGGTGTAGGAGGGTGAATATAGTGGAAATACTATGTACTCATGTATGAAAAATGAGACATGGTGAAACTATTCCAGGAATAGGGGGAGGGAAATAAAAGAGAATAAAGGAGGGACTGAATTCAACTACGATATATTATAAGAACTTTTGTAAATGTCACTCACAATATACCCCCAGTACAATAAAAATAGTTATCAGAAAGTTGTCATGGTGACACAGTTGGTGGGCAAGCCTTGGCTTATGGATTGATTGGAATAAGCTCAGGTAAGCCTAGGTATCCTAGGCTGATATTAAAAATTTCCAGATAAATCAAAGGAACATGCATCACAAATACAAATGCAGATACTACTTGACTTAATAATGGAGTTATGTCCCAATAAACCTATTGTAACCAATACACCTAACCTACCAAACATCATATATCATAGCTTAGCCGTCATACATTAGAATGTTTAAATTAGCCTACAGCTGGGCAAATCATCCAGCACAGGCCTATTTAACAATAAAGCATTGAGTACCTTATGTAATTCACTGAATGCTATTCTCAAAGTGAGAAATATAATGGGTATATGAGTATGCTTTTGCAACATTATAAAGTGTAAAAATTCCAAGCCAAACCATTAAAAGTCAGGGAAAAGCTCTTACAAAGAAAATATTGTCTGGAAACATCAAGTGCAACCAGTAATAGAGATACTACATTACTTCCAAAGTTACCTGGTTTTTATTCATGTTTACACTATAAGTAATTTGTGTCTATGATACCAGAGATGTGTTCTTGAACGCCCCCCCATGCACAAAAGGTAATTATACAACATGGAATACTAAATTACTATTATCACTTATTTTAACATTCCCCTTCTCACGATCTGTTCTGATTTCCATGTATTCTCCACTCTAGACAATTCTGTAACTTTCTAGAGTCATCAAATGTTCGACTCAATCTAGATATATTTAATCTCTTGGTGTTTAAACAGAAAATTAATATCAAAAGATTAAATGCAAACTGTCCTTTCTCAAGAACACTTCCCTTGGAGCTGCTAGCATTTAAGAACGAGTACAAGATCATTAGTTTGAAGATACACACACGGTGTTTCAAATTTAAAGCAATTTTTAAAATAAAATTTAAAATTCAGTTCCACAGTTACATTAGCAATATTTCAATCTCTCAACAGTCACAAGTGACCTCTGGCTACCACACAAGACAGTATAGATACAGAAAGTACTGATTTAATCATCACTTGAGTCTTTCTTTTCTCACTCCCATCATTTACTCAGCACTAGTAAAATGGTTAACACGTAATCCTGATGAAGACAGAGCTACAATGACTCTGTAAGTTTCTTGCCTCTATACATAGTGTATAGCTTCAGTGAATAAAGGAGTCCTCCTTTTCAGGAGCTCAGACACTTGGCTCTTTACTGCCATACTATCCCCACAGGGTAGAGACTCACTCATGGAAGGGTGTCCTACCCCTGAAGGGCTCAGTATTTTGTTTAATCCTAGGGGCACAATCCTAACAATATGCTAAGGGAACCTGGGGGAAGCTTGCCAAGTGGAATAGACTAAGATTCTTCCTCGGCTGGCAAATTATATCTCCTCACTGATTAAAAACAATAGTTTTTCAGAATAAGGACTCTAGAAACAGTAAGGAAACTCACCTGCATGTAGAAAGAGGTGCAAACTGAACACCCTTCTCTTTGCATTCCCTTCTTATTCTTTCTTTTACATTTCTACAAAGATCTACTACCCTAGAAAAGATAATTGAATACAATATTAAATTTTGAAATGAAATGTATACAAATTCCAGTAAGTGCCAGTTTATTTAACATCCTCAAATCAGAAATTCTTTTAACTAAAGCTTTTATACATATTCTTTCAAAAATGGACAAAACCCTTGATCATTCAAACTGAGTCCTCCATCCATAATTTTAAAGGGAACAAGGTTCTTTCTCTTTTTGCCTTAAGAAAAATACAAGTCAGAAGAGCATATTCAAGTCTCCTGAATGGAGGTTCCTACATTTAGGTGAGCCCAATTTCAAAATAAATTTAATTACAAGATTTTAGGAGCTTTAAAAAAAGTTAGAAGAACATTATAATGAGAACCTGGCCAATGTATATAATAAAAGAAGGAGACAGAGAGAGAGAGAGAGAGAGAGAGAGA